GAGCTCTTACATTCACTTGTCTCCTAATCCATCTAATAGTAACATTATACATGAAAGCTAATATCGACTTACAATCATTTATTACAATAGCAAATTCATAAAAATTAAAAGAAGAAGAGTTTAAAGCATGAATGATGGATTGACATTCTATATAAATGTAACCTAAAGAAAAAAAGATTATTTGTAACCCAAGATAATCAAGAACAAAGAGCCAACACCTCGATAAGAGTTGGATCCTTATAGCTGTCCAAAAAACCAAAAATTGCCTTTAAAACTAACCCTTAGCATCTTTGAAGATAATACTAAGACTAACCAAATGGAATTTATGAAAAATCACTCCATCTATGAAGCATGCCAGCTTGCAGCATTAATGAATCCCCACATAGGACTCATACCAGACCCTTGCGCACAAACCAACGGTTGGTGAAAAACAAGGCTTAAAGCTGTGTTCCATTCCTAAAGAAGATGACATGAAAAGGTAATGATCTAGTTTTCATTTTGGGTTTAGTTTCGCCAAATGAAATTGTTGGTAATATTCCAGAGTGACCATACAATGAAAGCAAGTTTTTGACTATCAATAGCAGAATTTATTCGTAAAATCTAAGCAAAAAAGTTAGAAAAAGAAATATAATCATAAAATAGCAGAATTTATTTTCGTAAAATCTAAGCCAAAAAAAGTTAGAAAAAGAAATATATATATATATATAAATATAATAATATTATATTATATATGAATTATATTATTTATGAGGAATAGCTAAGCCACTTTTTTTCTCCACACCTTCCGTAGCCTTTTGAAAATTTTAAATTGCATATGATCAATGTCCTCATCCAACCTAGGAAAGCCAACAAGCTCTCTCTTACTCCGAACTCCTCTTCACGGAGCTTGAGACTTAGTAGGAAATCCTCTGAACCCTTCCACAAAAAATTCTCATGTTAGGCAGGAATGTTCACTATATATATATGAGGAATAGCTAAGCCACTTTTTCTCCACACCTCCGTAGCCTTTTGACATTTAAATTGCATATGATCAATGTCCTCATCCAACCTAGAAAGCCAACAAGCTCTCTCTACTCGAACTCCTCTCTCACGGAGCTTGAGACTAGTAGGAAAATTCCTCTGAACCCTCCACAAAAATTCTCATGTTAGGAGGAATGTTCAAATGACAATTTTTTGCTCCAATAGTCACCAATCAACTTCTCGTAACCTGATTTAATACTAGACATGCCTTTCTTATCATAATGCTAAATTAAATTGTCCTCCTTATTATTATACTCAAAGAAATCTTAAGAATAATTCTAATGTCTCTAACAAAAAAAAATCAACAATTTTATAAAAATCCTACCCAGTCATATCTTCACATATAAGATCTTTGAATCTTAAACCAAGCTTCAATGGACCCCATCCTCCAGTATAAAAGAATCTTCCTTAGGGATCTAAGAATCAGACCTAGCTAAAATTTACTCTCCATCTAACTCCATGTTTTAAGACATCCCTAGATAACAAGATACTCATGTAAAATTATGATTGCTCCCTAAAGACGCAAACGAAAAATCCCCCTCGAAAAATATTTAGCTTCAAGAATAAGAAAAGTAAGAGTGTTGGGCTTAAAAATTAATCTTCACCCCTCTTTACCTACCATGGATAAATTAAAATGATGAAGGTCACAAAAATCCTTTTCCCTAACCCATTTTCTTTGGAACATTCTATCCCAAGAATACCAATGAACACTTTTACCTCCCCCTCCTTTAGAATCCCACCAAAAAGAATTCATAATTTTTTAAATCCATCACATAAAGATAAATGGAGTATAAAACACTCATACAATAAGAAGGAAGAGTCTAAACTATATATTTGAGAAAATCTCTCTATTTGCTCTAGATAAAAAAACCTATTATTCTAAGAATTGATACGAATCCAAACTCTATCCTTAAGGTAATTAAACATTTTCTTTTTATTGGAATCAACCAAAGAAGGAAGACCAAATATTTACCACTTCCTAGGTGACTATGAACACCTAGGATATCAGAAACTCTATTTTTATTAGGACCAGATACATCAAGACTAAAAAAGATACCTAGTTTGTTGAAATTAATAGGTTGCCCTGATACTTTCTTATACTCCTTAAAATACTTCTAAACTTCAAACCTTTCCTCTCAGAGACTTTGAAGAAGAAAAGAGAGTTGTCTATAAATAGTAAATGAGAAACTCATGAACACCTCATATGAACTTCCTCTACGCTCCACTTTATTGAAAAGTAAAGGCAAACATTCCGAACACATGATATATAAATAAAGTGAAAGAGGATCTCCTTGATGAAGCCCTCTCTTAGGAATAATCAGGCCCATAGGTTCCCCATTATACAAGACATAATACCTGATACTAGTAACACAAAGCATCATCCATCCCACCCATTTAATAGAAAAACCCACACTTGTCGTCATATCCTTGAGAAACTTCCAATTAACCATACCATAAGCTTTAAAAATATCAATTTTCAATGCACCCATACCTTCTCCCCCTAGTCTTACCCTTCATAGTACGTAAAACCTCAAAAGCTACCAAAATATTATCCTGAATAAGTTTATACAGAAGCGGGCTAACTCCCTAAAATAACATGAGGTAAAACTCTCTTAAGCCTATTTTCAAAACTTTAGAAATAATTCTATAAAGTAAAACACATAAAGCAATTGGTCTGTAGTCTTTTAAAGACTTTGGTTTACTGTTTTTAGAGATAAGAACCGCCAAAGTATCAAAGAGAGAAGTAGAAAAAGTACCTAAATGCAGCCAAAGCTTACAGCTTTCAATAACATCCTTCACCACCACATGCCAAAACTTAAAAAAAAAAATACTAGGTCTAAACCATCTGGACCTAGTGATTTATCAGGGTGCATTTGGAACACTATCGCTTTGAACTCTTCATTAGCAATAAAAGAATACAATATCTGCATGAGACACTCTCCAACCAAACTCAAATTTTTGCAAGTATCCTCCTCATGAAATAATTCAAAATAATATCTTCCATGTCATTTTTCCTAGTAATCCAGTCACTGGCTTCATTTTGCAAATCCTCAATTCTATTCGCCTTTTGTCTTCCCTTAATACACCAATGAAAGAATTTAGTGTTCATGTGTTTTGGCCTGTTTGCAGTATCTCAACTCCTCTTGTTGATGCATATTAGCCAACTTTACGTTTAAGAGAGAACCTGTTGTTTCTAAGATTCGACTAAGCATTCTTTTCTTTTAGTTATCATGAATCCGAAAAAAATTATTCTACCACCCTTGTTTCACCATGTGATATCTTCCTCAAGCTATCAGGCGTTGTCAAAATGGAAAAACATGTGCCCGATCCCCAAACGCACTAGATCAGAGTTAAACAAGATTTGCTAGTGATCTATGATAGGATAATATTTAGGGACATTATTAATGACCAATATTGGTAAGATAATTAGTGACCACTATTGCATATGATAAGAATGATAAGGATCTATGGACTTTACATGACAAAAAAAGTTGATCATCCTCGTGAGCCAATCCATCTTACTTAGCTTTGACTATGATGATAGGATAATATTTTGGGACATTATTTGGAATTAAGAGAGCCTAGGATCGAGTTACTTCATATCTTAAGGTTTAGTGTGCTTTATGCGGACTGTATCCGTTTCAATGTTAATTATATGTTCATTACTTTGTTGTTCCGAATGGATAGGTCATTGATTTAACCGGTTGATTAATGGTTCACCTAATGGGTTATAAAAATATTAATAAAGTAATTATAAAAAATTAAAAATATTAAAAATTAGTGCCAACCAATCGAGTTAGTACAAGTTAAGCAGTTTGACCACAGTTCGACCAATTCAATTTGATTTTCTTTCCTTAAATGGCTGAAAAGTAAAACAAGTTTAAAATATTCAATTTGGTTTGGTTTGAAGATTTTTAATTTTTTTAAATTATTTTGGGTCAATTTGATTTTTATATAAAAGATTTTGAAATTTTGAATGGAAGTAAAATGAATTAAATTAAACTAAATCGAATAGAACTTGAAATATATATTTATTTTCAACAATTATTTTGGTCATTTCAATTATTTAGATTCAATTTGAGTCAAAAATAATATTTACATGTGGATTATTAAAATTTCAAAAAAGATTCCAAGACCTCTTAGTCACAACTGATTGGAGGTGTCAATTATGATAAATAATCATATGGTAAGAGAGAGCATTTTAAGAATTTTGAAGCATATTAGGAAATGAATTAGAAAAATTGCTTTTCAATTCCTTAGTTTTATGTTTTAAAATTATCCATCTAAAATTCGTAATCCTGCAGTAATAGAACCCACCTTATAAATTCCATTTTCACAATTCACATATTTACGCTAAGTATAGAATAATTGAGTATAGTCAGCTCATGAGAGGCAGTATAAAATAATTTTTTAACTGTTAAAAATTATTTAATTGCCGTTAAATTATTTAATTCTTATGTTCAAAAACATATTTTAACATTAACTTTCATCAAGTGTTTTTTTGAATATTATTTGATATTCATAAGAACTATATGAGGAAGCGATTGGGAAAATATTTGAATCGACTTATGAAATATGGAAATAAAATTAGGGGTATTTAGCAGCAAAAATTATATAATTTTTTATTGAAGGATTAAATATTTCAATGAAATTAAAATTAGGAGATAAACTAGTCATTAAAAATAATTGGTATAATACTTACAGGTTGTGGCTCAGTTGACAACACAGGCTAAATATATGAAAAGCTCTCGAATTTGATCCCCACTGAATATACTTACAAGGAGAGGTGAGGAGTCTTAATTATGCCTCCGAGTCCAATTAGGCGTCCCTAATAACATGATCCGAATACCGATGGTTTAAAAAAAAAAAAATGAAGGGTACAATTTAATAATTTTAGTCAAATAAGGACTAAATTGTAATTCGCGCAAAATAAAAAAACCTTCAAACTCACACTCTCAAATACGCGTGTTTGACAAATATCTGAGTCTCACTCTCTACTGCACTAAAATTTTCCCACCCAAAAATATTCTCCCTCTCTCTATTTCTCCAATTCTGCAGAAGAACGACCTGCCGTTTCAAAGGTTATACAGAGGCTACTATTCCAGGTATGGAGGGGCTTTTATGATCACTGATAGTTTAATCGGTGATTATATTGATTAGAAAATTTTCTATTCTTCTTAATTTCATTTCAATTGATTGTAATACACTAGGTTTTTTTTAATTGAATTTTATTTGACGTTTATATATGGTGGTATTCATTTTCTTTGCAGTGTTTTTTTGCTATTTGGGTTAATTGTTTTTTATTTGTGGGTTTAGCTTGTTAATGCTTAATGATATGATAATCCAACATTTTATTTTTTAAATTATTTTACAATGTCTTTTTTTCCCATTTTATCTCTTCTTGGAAATGGTTCTATTTGATTGTAACAACTGTTCCTCTTTTGAAGAAGTTTTGTGTAAATTTTGGCTAAAAGGGATATTAGATATGAGCATTGTTGATTATTTGGGAGTTGGAAAAGAATCCTTGAAACATTCATTGCAGGTAATTTGTTTGTGTAAAGATTTTATCACTAGAAATGTTTAATTGTAAATTTTAAGCCAAAGATTTAACAGATATGGCATGTTTGGCCTGTGTTCATGTTGATGCATTGCCATTAAACCATTTTATTGTCGATTACCTTATCTTTGTTGATATCGAGAGTTTTAGATCAGTAGCTTATACTTCAGCATTGCCCTTAAAGAATATTTCTTGTGCCCTGTTATTCAATTTGATTAGAATTTACTACATATCCAACCTTCTTGAGCATAATTTGGTTGTGTCTTATCTTTAATTTGATCTCAATATCACTTTGTTTATCACCAATCTTTTGAGGTGTCAAACTTATATATCTAACTTGAAGGGATGAAAAGGTTTTTCCCCTCTTGAGCATTCACATCATTTGCTTATTAATTCATTTAAGTCTACATGCTGATATTTTTTGTCTAAGGCTTATGCCTCAACAAATTTCACTTCTCTAACACTGAGATTATTTCCCTTTCACTGTACATATTTTGAATTTCAATTGTTGATACAGTTGAGATTGCGAAGTTATTAAAAGATGGGGCTCTACTATTGTCCTCAATGATCTATGGATCCCAGCATTCACCCTACAAAGCAAATCAAAAATATTATGTTCTACTAGGAAGAAAGGAAATAGTTATTGTCTTTCTTAGTTGAGTTTTAGTTTTCCAATATATATGAGGTCACAATCAACCTATACATATTTTAGTTACATAATTTTTTTTGCATTCCTATAACTTCTGTGATTGTTGATATTTTTCAGAACTGCTTTTAGATTTATCTTCTATTCATATAGATCATGCATGCCAAACTTCGAGTTGATTAGATAGTCAAATGATCTCCATCTACACAGTTATTTGTAACTGAATATTTTGTTAAATATGATCATGAGCAAAATGGTTGTATTATAGATGAAATACGTATTAATACCTGATTTGCTTGTGATATCACTTTGGGGGAACTGCATCTCAAAAGTTGACTGTTGGGGACAGAAAGCTCACGTTTGCCAAATTTAAAGTCGAAACTCTCTATGTTGGCTCCAAGTTTCATACCTTGCGAACTGGGATCATAACATCCCGCCATATTTTGCAGTCTCAGCAATTATGGCAGGTTGCTTTTGCACTAGAATAGATGTTTGCTAGGTTTTTTTTTTTTTTTTTTTTTTTTTTAAGTCGAAACTCTCTATGTTTGGCTTCCAAGTTTCATTACCTTGCGAACTGGGTCATAACATCCCGCCATATTTTGCAGTCTTCAGCAATTATGGCAGGTTGCTTTTGCACTAGAATAGGATGTTTGCTAGGTTTTTTTTTTTTTTTTTTTTTTTTTGTTAGTCCTGGGTTGAACATTGCAATACTAGCGGCACTAGTACTGCAACTTGGAGAAGTTGCTGGTTCGCTTAGTTACTTTTTTTTTTTTTTTTTTTTTTTTTGTAGTCCTGGGTGAACATTGCAATACTAGCGGCACTAGTACTGCAACTTGGAGAAGTGCTGGTTCGCTTTAGTACCAATTAATATGACCTTGGGATAATCATACCTTGAAAGCTAGTTATTGAGTTGGACAACCCAAATTATCTCAAATTATTGTGGATCTTTCATCTAGGATAATAAAAACTTGAAATTCTGTATGCATGATGTTTATGATCAGAGTGATAAATCTAACAGTTAGTTTATAAAAATAGATGGGTTTGATAATTTGTTGGTGAGTCTCACCTTAGATTTTCTTAACTGTGATAACTAGGCTAAACCTTATTTGGTTAATGGCATATAAATATAAATATATTAACTGAAGGAGGGGAAATAATTAACCTTGTTACCTTTTGATCCATGATCAGTCAGGGGATACAAGATGATAAAATAATGGTATATAAATATAAATATATTAATTGGAGGAAGGGAAAATAATTAACCTCATGTTACGTTTTGATCCAGGACCAGTCGATCAGAGGATACAAGATGATGTAATATGAATATAATATGATATTGATAATGATGGTATAACTCAATCAAATGTTCTGGTCAAATTTCCATTTTGGGTTGATATATTGCCAGAAGAGTGTCATTTAAATGAATTCTTTATATATTAGCTTAAAATTTGACATTTTTTCTGGCTTATAATATAATTGTATTATTCAGTACCTTTTATGTTTGTGTTTTAATTTGCTTGGAAACATGGATAGGTGATATGAGACTTCACATGCAGAAAAACCAAAATCTTCTTGTTGAATGATCTGTTTCCTGAGAATTTGTAGAATAAGATTCTTGGCAAGCAATAAACACTTGATTGTATAGTTCAAGGTTTTATCGAAAATGAAATTCCCTTTTTCATTTATTTTGAATGCAGTCCTCCATTTTGTTTTGCTTTTTGTTAAATGTAATCTGCTGTTAGTTCTCTTTCTTTTCTGCCTTCAAGTTCCCCCATGTACTCTACCAATTTTTTGAGTTCCCCATGTACATCAAAATGATTGAGCCATCTATGTCAAACACTCTGATTTAGAAGATATGAGACCTATGGATTTTGGAGAGAGAAATCAAGAAGAGGAGAGATGAGAAACAAAGATCTCTGATTCCAAATTGATGTTGCACAATTGCTTTGGTAAACTAGCAACATAGGAGAAAAAATGCGAAAAAAAGATAAGGCAATAGTAGAGCACTTAGAAGAGAAAAGAATAAAGAAAATGAGAAGAATCAGGAAGAGTAAAGATGAGAAAGATTCAGGCAATTCTTTTCAGGTGTCAAATTCCAAAACCTAGCCTAGTTCAGGCCCATTTATATGTGGACTAAAATAAAATCCAAAATAAGATAATCTCCCTCAAATAAGTAAAAATATACAACCAAAATAAAAGAAATCCTATCTTAATAAGTTCTCTGATGTAGAGTGTTTGATCTAGGCTTTGTTGTTTCCATTTCCTTTGTTGTATTTATTTCCTTCTCTTAATTTGGAAATTATCTTTTTTTTTTAAAAGAACCTAAGTTTTCATTCTTTTGATAGGTGTATATTGTTTAGTGCAGACTGCAGAGGTTAATCTCATCATGGAGAGTTCTGATGAGGAGAAGGATGGAATTTTTGGGAATTATATGCCGAAAGAACTAAGTATAAGTTTAGCTAATGGTACCAAATTTGTAGATGAAGTATTAAGTGGTCAAAGCGATCGCTGTCTGGAAAATTTTCGCATGGATAAGCAAGTATTCTATAAGTTATGTGATATTTTGCAAGCCAAGGGTCTATTACGTCATACAAATAGAATCAAGATTGAGGAGCAAATAGCCATATTCCTGTTCATTATTGGCCATAATCTACGCACTCGAGCTGTCCAAGAATTATTCCGGTATTCAGGAGAAACCATTAGTCGTCATTTCAACAATGTTTTGAATGCTATCATAGCAATTTCATTAGATTTCTTTCAGCCTCCAGGATCTGATGTTCCACCAGAAATTTTGGGAGATCCAAGATTTTATCCATACTTTAAGGTAATGCTATTATAACTAGAATTCAGTCACTTCTTTGGGGGGTTGCATATATCTAACTTCAAGACTTTTATGACTAGGATTGTGTGGGAGCAGTTGATGGCATACACATTCCTGTTATGGTGGGTGTGGATGAACAAGGGCCATTCCGTAACAAGAATGGATTGCTTTCACAAAATGTTCTGGCAGCTTGCTCATTTGATCTGAAGTTCCATTATGTGCTAGCTGGCTGGGAAGGGTCAGCATCAGATTTACGAGTTCTAAACTCGGCTCTGACAAGAAGAAACAAATTGCAGGTCCCTGAAGGTATTTCATGTGCATTTTACATCATGGTTTGATGTGAGGTTATTTGGCAATCAAGTAAAAGATGCTGAATTTTAATATATCATACTTATCCTTGAATGCATTACATATTTTGTGCTCTTTTTGACTCTCTCAAGTTATACTGCTTTTGTGAGGTGAATATTTTTATCGATACAGGGAAGTATTATCTCGTGGACAGCAAATATGCCAATATGCCTGGCTTCATAGCCCCATATGATGAGATTCCTCATCAGTCAAATGAGCTTTCCAGTGCATATCATCCTCAAGAACCCAGAGAACTATTCAATCAAAGACACTCGTTGCTGAGAAATGCCACTGATCGTATCTTTGGGGCTCTGAAGGCTCGCTTCCCTATATTGATGTCTGCTCCTCCTTACCCTTTGCAGACACAGGTTAAGTTGGTTGTAGCAGCATGTGCCATACATAATTACATCCGTAGGGAGAAACCAGATGATTTGATTTTTAGAATGTATGAACAGGATAGCATACTAGAAATGGAAGAATCTTTACCCTCATTGGAGGTGGAACAGTCAATTCTACAAGTTGAGAACCAGGCTCTGGACATTGCTTTTGAGACAGAACAGCTTGAATTTAGTTCACAGTTACGAGACTCTATTGCAAGTAGTATGTGGGATGACTATATCCGCGATCTGTCAGCTATGTAGATGGATTCATTGTGGTTCTAGTTTTGGGATAGTATTGGAATTCTTTTCAAGATCATTGGCCGTATGGGAATCTTTGAATTTGATCTTGGTCTTGGTGTACATTGGTGCTTTTGGTAGTTTGTTTATAGCAAAGAAATATATGGGTAGGTTATGATTTTACAAGTGCTAGATGTGTACAAAGAATTTTATAAGCAACTTTATGGCAGGTTTTAATACATAGCCAAGTTCGTATCTTTTATAATTCAAGTTTTCAAATATAAAGCAACTTTTATGGCAGGTTTTAAACATAGCCAAGTTTCGTATCTTTTATAATTCAAACGGTTCTTTCAAATATATATATTTATATATATATAATATATATATATTATATATATATATAATTATATTATAGCTTTGAAAAGTCTATTGTGAGGTTAATGGAAGTTGAGGGCTTTTGATGCAATTAATTTATATATATATAGTTGAAAAGTCTAATTGTGAGGTTAATGGAAGTTGGAGGGCTTTGATGCAATTATTTTTGGGAAGATTATGTTTTGATCAGAGGTAGAGTTTGTTTTATCTTTTATTTTTATTCATTGCCTTTCATGTATTTGTAATTTTTTTACTTTAAAATGAGTGGTTTAATATTAAAACATATATACAATTGGTTATTGATATATTATGTTAGAAAATATATGGTCTATCATAAAACTACATGAAGTTATATTTTATCATAGTTTGTAAAAATATTGATGTTCATTATCTGTTAGAATTTGTTTGATACCTTTATTTAAATTATTATTAAAAGAGCTATTTCTTTAATTTAAAAATTCTATTTTTAAAATATTGAAATAGAATTATTAAATTCATCCCTTTCAATAAATTAAAAATCATGTGTCTATTCGATGAATCTAAATTCTAAAGTTTTTTCAAATCGTTAAGTTTTGACTAAATAATCCATGACAAACAATTGAATTAAATTATAAATTTATAATACTATTATATATTTTAATATTTATATTAATTGTGTATTCAGAGAATCAAATCAAACCTAAAATTAAAATTAAATAAAAAAATTAAATTTAAAATTAATGATGAAAATATTCAATGGCAACTAAAAGTACTTGTTGATTGTTCTCTTTAATTTAAAAGCATTTAGATTTAATATTAAATGTTTGCTTTTCTTTAATAGTTTTTAAAATAAACTAAATACGATAATAGAGAAATAAGACTATTTTTATTATAATTTATTATAAAGACTAATTAAAAATAACTTATTATAAAGACCAACTAAAAATGAAAGTTTGTTTAAGATTGAAGCTCCGTTTGTTTCCGTAAAATAACTTGCAGGAAAATATTTTTCACAATTTTCTGTTGTTTGGGGCATTCAGGAAAATAAGTCAACAGAAAATATTTTCTGGTCAAAGGAAAAATAAATCATTTTTTAAGGAAAATAACTTCTCATTTTCGAGAGAGTAAAATATTTCTGAACATTGGTAAATCTTATAAATTCATATTTTTTAATTTATTAATCATTATAATTACTACCATCAGTTACCATTTACCACTAACCACCACCATCGGCCACCAGCGACTTTCATAATTTAATTTAATTTTTTTTGTATTCTTTTCATATTTAATAATAAAATTTTATTAATAATAATAATAAAATTTTTAAATTATAAAATTTCTATTATTATTAATATTTTTTATGGTCTTATGAGATAAAGACTCTAATATTTTTAATTAATTTTCAATATTATAACCAAACAATGAAAAATTGGACAATATTTTTCAAGGAAAATGTTTTCCATGAAAATATTTTTCAATAAGTTATTTTCGTACAAGTTATTTTACAGAAACAAACAGAGCCTAAATATCATATTTAAGTCCACCGACTTAAACATAAGTGAAATCCAAATGGGATGGTAATGCATAAGATGTTTTACATCGTGGGTTGTATAAAGTTTGGTTATAACATAAGTGACGAAGTAAATAGAGGGTTAAACCACTATAAAGCATAGTAAATTTCTACATCAATACATAACATTTTTACACCATTAGATTTATCGTTATTACATCTAAACCATTAGATTTAAAGCTACTCAAATGACTTACCACCTACAAAACAAGCTGTGTTAGATTGAGAATATATAATATATATATTTTTAATAACTGTGCAATCTTAATAAAATATCTTGTTGGATCTTTTTAAAATATTTAAAAATATGAGCATGTGTCTAAATAAAGTATTATTTAATTATAGTTAATGTTAGCCTACTTTGTTGAAAACAAAAATTAAAAAAAAAAAAAAAGTTTAGCTCAATCCCCAATCCCACATCGAGAATGAGGCTCTTTTTCTTGAGGGTGCTTTTGAATTGGCATAAAAGGACCAATGCTTAGGTTCTAACACCCAAACACGCAAAAAATATTTAATGTGTTTTATATTAGGGATTTAATGCAAGTTTGGAGTCCCTTGGAGTAGAAAATATTTGAGGTTTTTGAGGGTGTCGGGTAGAAAAATATTTTCGAATTTGGTTGTAACAATTTGCCAAAGTGAATATTTTCTTGGTTGTCCGATCAGTTTGCAACCGGCGTGGTTTTTCTCCATTTGGGGTTTTCCACGTTAAGTTATCGTGTTATTTATTCTCTTTAATTTCTCAGTCATTATTTTATTTCTCATTTGTCACTCTTGAAAGCCGGTCCGAAGGGCGGGAAAATAGCATTTTTCCCACATAAGTGGTATCAGAGCCAAGTTTTAGGCGGAGCTTTATAGATGCTAAATATAATTTCGTTAATTTAAATTATAAGTATGCGCTGTTGATTGCGTTTATGTCTGAGTCTTCCACATCAGAAAAATACTGCGTAGAAGAAATTATTTTATTTAAAAAGCGGTGGAGTTTTGAGTCTTGAATCTGGTGGAGCTTAGCTTTGGTGTGCTTGAGTTAACCGATGTGAGTCCGACGATAATTATTGAAGTTATTCTCGGTATTCTGGTACGAAAGTTCTGATAATATACCGTGTACGTAACTTCTGTCTAGAAGGCCGGATTTTAAGTGGGACCACTTGTGACCCCTCCGCCCAACTGGGATTTTACGTGAAATGGTAATATTGTTTAGGAGATCATTGTGATCTTTTCTGGATATTGCCGAATCAATTTACTTCACTAATTACTGGGTTCACTGTTATAAGCATAAGTAAGCATGTCGGCTATGAGATGTGAGATTCAGAAATTTGACGGGAGAATGAATTTTGCACTATGGCAAGTGCAAGTCAAAGACGTGTTGATTCAGTCTGGACTGCATAAGATTTTGCAGGGTAAACCAGTCAGCGGAAAGAATTCAGGAAAAGACAGTGGCAGTAGAGACTCAGAAAAATCCAAGATTAGCGATGAAGAATGGGAGGTAGCGCATGAAGAATGGGAGGAGCTGGATATCAAAGCGGCAAGTCAAAATTCGCATGGTCTAGCAAAAAATGTTCTTACTAAATGTGCTTGGATGTGTCCACACAAGAGGAGTTGTTGGAGAAACTGAAGAATTGTCCAGCGCGAAAAATATATCCCAACAGGTTATATTTGAAGGAGCAATTTCATACGTTGAAAATGGCGAAAGGTACAAAGATCTCAGATCACCTGAGTGTTCTTAACGGCATCGTCTCTGAATTGGAAACTCTTAGAGTGCAAACCGAAGATGAAGATAAAGCTCTCCGACTCATCCTATCACTTTCTTCGACATATGAGCACACTGTTCTGAAATATGGTAGTAAGGAAGTGGTGTATGCGGATGTGGTTGGTAAGCTCATTACTGAGGAGAGAAGACTGAATGAAATGAAAAATAAATCATTTGAGGATTCAGCTTTATCTGTCAGTACCAGGAAAAGAATAAAAGCTCCGGAAAGAAGAAGGTTGTCTGCTGGGGTTGTGGTCAAACTGGACACGTGAGGAAAGATTGCCCGAACAGTGGAGCTGATTCGGCTAGAAGCTCTAACGTTGTTGCGCTAGAAGCTCTAACGTTGTTGCTGCCAATATGATCTCCTATGGCGAAGGAGATGATGTGTTCTCTTTGTAATTAAGAGATGTGTGTCATCATGGCATGATTGCTACCCGTTGAGATGCCATGAAAGAGGACGGATTATTGGTAGCTGGTCCACAGAAATGCGCATGGCATTAGTTGACAGTTGATGCAAAATGTGTGGTGGAAAAAATTATGTCGATGGCTAATGAACTCTCAGAAAAGTCAACAGGAGGGTTGCACCATAAACTATTAGTGGGATCCGACATGGCCGATGGAAATAAAAGTGGTTCACAGTGGCGATACTCTTTTAATGGTGGAGTAGATTTTTATGGTGGAGTATGATAATTCTTGACAATAAAAATTATGATTGTCGGTAGCAAACAATGTTGTGTTTTTTTTTCAAGGTGGAGATTGTTAGCCTCCTTGGTTGAAAATAAGAAAAAATATATATATATATAAAATATAGTTTGCTCAATCCCACATCGAGGAGATTGAGATTTGTGGGTAGGTGGATTGGCTATAAAAAGAAGTCAATGTTTAGGTTTCTAAACACACCAAAAATATTTGAATGTGTTTTATATTAGAGATTTAAAGCAAGTCTTTTGGAGTCCCTTGGAGTATAAAATATTTGGGGTGTTTTTTGTGTCGTTAGAAAAATATTTTGTAATTGTGGTTGTTAACATTTGCACATATTGAATATCCACATAGTGAATATTTTTCTTGGTTGTCGTTTGGCAACGGCCGTGGTTTTTCTCTACTTGGGGAGTTTTCCACGTTAAGTTATCGTGTTATTTATTTTCTTTAATTTCTCAGTCATTATTTTATTTTCTCATTTGTTCCTACTTGAAGCCAGTCCGAAGGGCGGGAAAATAGCGATTTTCCCAACAGTTAATATAATCTTTTATTATGTAATTAAGCTAAATTATTAATTAACTTTTATTTATTTTAAGTATTAAATTATATATTTTTTTTAGAAGAATTAAATTATGTTAAATTATATCTCTTTAAAGAGTATCGAATTATTTAACTAAATCCACTTAAATGGTTACTTATCAAAACTATTATAGGTAATGCCATAGAATTTTTTATATTAAATTCATTTTTAAAAATTTTTGTGATTCAAAGATTACTTAACATTTATTTATTTTTCAAACATTTATTTATTTTTCAAAAAAATTTTAGTTATTTTAGAATATAAAATTACACAAATTCAAATATATAGTTAAGTTATCACTACATTTTAAAATAA